TTGAACATCCACCTGGAAGTTCACAAAGTAGCTGCTGTGTAAAAGTAACAATAACTAAATATTAAGGTGACATTTGAAAGAACTTGATGACAGTGATTAATGATTCAAAATGCCAGTAAAGTGGAATTGCTCTCTTATTTCAGTGTTGCATATAGCAAGTACAGCCAGCCTGTCCAATTTTTAAAGGTTAAAGGATGAACTTTTCATTTTGGGGCAAGTAGTGCCCTTTTCTTATGTAATTGTGGACAGCCCAGAACCAGTGAAGATTCGGCATGTGGGGAGAGTGGGTGGGATTTGGGGAGTGTCTAGCGCAATCCATATTTTCCTATTACTTTGCAAAAGATGAAGGTGTCTTGTTTCCAATTGTGGAGCAGCTTTGCATCTGTGCTCTGAATGCTGGGTCAGCTGAAGTTGATGTTCCAGCAGTGAAACTTTCTGGTGCTTATGTGGCCTACAGTACGTATTCTCTAGTGCTACTTCAAAAAATGCATTACTGCAATTGGTTCTTAAGGTTTCCACTTGTTAGACCCAGTCTTAAAATGCAAATAGTGTTGTATGCCAATTGTCAAAGTCTAGAGGGGAAGAAAATGTTATTTCAGACCCCAGTTTAGCAAAGCATTTAGGTCTATGATCTATAACTTGCAGAATGTGAATAATCCCTGAATGTAAAATGTGCTTAACCTTATTAAGCCGTCTGTGGCATTATTCACTGGACTACTCACGCAGTTGCGTTGGGCGTGTCCTTGCGTGCTTTGCTGTCACATATAGGTCCAAGCATGTTGGTGCTTAACAAACAATCACCCATTCCCAATCTCTCACTTCTTCTGTGACAGCTGTTACGCAGGTTTTCATAAAACAGTTTCAGAAGTATTGAGACAAAATATGTAGAGCTACACAGAGGATGGAGATTTTGTGTACAGTGGAGTTCAAAGTGTTTTAAACTGTTTTGTTTTGATAACCTTGAGATAAGACACTTTGTCACTGTTAGAGCTTTTTTTCCTGTTTTTTTTTCCCTCCTTAACATTTTGTCACAATTACAGTTTTGCTGTAAGACCTTCCTACTTGGGCAACAGAGCTAGACTAGGATGTAAGTTAGAGAATTTCTATTTTATGCTGATGCCCTAGTTTCCCTTTGTTTTATTCTCTTGTTCATTCTCCTGTTTTACAAGTTATTCTGTCCTCTTATAGCCTTTGGTCAGAAGGGTGGCATATAAATCAAATCAGTACTTTTGAACAGAATTGCATTCTCCAGAGGAGAATGGTTCTGTTGAACTTTTTTTGCTTCCTCTTAAAAATAAGATTTCATTAGTGTTTTAGGGATACGCGTGTCATGCCTACATGTCTGAACTGATGGGGGTGGTGGGATATTAGGAATTTTTTTTTCTTTTATCAAATATTAAAACTATTATCTGAGTCTAGTAGCAAATGTTTTCCAATAACATTTCTGACCAAATCTGCTCACACTTCTCTTTTTTTGTTCGTCCTGTCTGCTTGCAAGCTGTTTTGTTTGTTCTTCTGATGCATTGCAATTAGAGGTGCACCGATACATCAGTCCAATATCGGATTGGTACCGATATAAAGAAAATTTGCTGCATCACGTATCTGCCTGATGGGGCCGATAATTTGGCTGATAAATGCCTGTACTGTGCGCAGCTACAGCATAGCACGGAGCAGAGCCAGCAGCATGGAGAGCTGCCTCCAGCTGGTAA